AAATTCAGTCTCGCCATTTCTCTACTAAACGACTGATGATTGAAAAAAAGGCATGAGGAACGGACCAAGGTATAAAGATTGAAACGGATGGTCGGACGGACGGAAAGGAAAGGAAAGGAAAGGAAAGGGCGGACAGACGGAGAGGAGGTGGTACCATAAACCCAACAAACCATTATTTTTGCATTACCAGAGAACTGTCGAGAGAACAAAATCTCAGTCAAACAGTCTTACTACTGCAGACCTCACTGCCCCGAGTACCTCACCTTTACGAGGACCAGCATGTTGGCGGGACAACTATTATTTACAAGGTTCTGTCATGACAATGTACAGCTGCTGTGTACCAAGCTGATCCTCAACAATATACAACAGAGACTTAAATAAAGTAAACAAATACGTAATCTGGCTGTGACTATCAGTATGAGTGCATCTAAATTAACGTACTCGATGACTAGCCTATTAACCTAAACTAGCCTAATCCACTCACTCTAATCTCGTACACTGTATCGTGTGGGGTCGGATGCACAACAGTTCGGAAGTAATGTATAACTGCACCTAATTGTTTAACTTGGGGAAATGCACTAATATAATGCCCATAAATATCGTCGAGACTCCACTGTAACTCTACCTCAACAAAATACGTTCCCCTGGGACACATATTTAAGACAGAGAATCTCTTCCAAGACAATCTTTTCCGTATCTCCTGATAATATATCAAAGTATCTACCCAGCCACAGTGTTATTTTGATGTTAATTATGGATGTTATTTTTGTGCTTTGTGAAACAGTTAGGTACAGCTCTCAAACAGGGAGGTACTACCGCCTGGGAAGATGTTGGAAGCATAATGTGTTGTCTAATGGTAGACCCTGCTGCCATATGGCATCACAAAAATTGTGACCAAGTCCCAGGTTGCTGATCTGACTTTCTGCCTCATTTACACAGAGTTGCAGGGTTTATTTATTTTTTTCGTCTGTGTATTTATTTATGTTTATTAATTTTTTTTTGTTAGCTCGGGTGGGCTAATCCCCGTTAAAAAAAAAAATAAAAAATAAATAAATACTTTCTTCCATTTTCTGTTACGAGGAATATGCATCGTATGATGCTTTGAGAGTCCGACCCCTGGAGTGCTATCATCAACAACTGTCCAGTTAATAGGCTATGAGACCAAACCCTCCTAACCAGGACACTAAATTTTTAATCTATGAAAAATTACTAAAGTATGATTACAATGTCATAACTATAGTTAAGAGTAGCTAAGAGATTGTTATATCTACAGTCAATTTAATTGTTATTATTTATGGAACAGTTTCACAATGATTTTTCTCTTCAAGCAGAAATCCAGTATAGTATCGTAGTTTTATTTCTGATCTGGAAAAAAAATCTTTAAATGCTTTTGTCTTGTTATACATTATGTAACTACTCCTAAGTAAACTACTCAATGGTATTTATATTCTAAAACCTAAATGTGTTGTTTAGCAATTCCTTTTTCAAGACACAAGCAGTTCTCAAAATTGAGTCATGTCTCTATTACTTCGAGTGTAAAATTTATATCTCTCACCTTCTGGCTTTATATACTTTTTTCATAATTTCAATCCCAATGAGTTGCAACAAATGCGAGTCCAACGTTCGGGATTGGATATAGGAAGTCTTGCCAGAAAGTGTTTTCAACCATTTAAACTCTTTTTCTGCCCCACTGTTTATGCTATAAAACTCTTGTTGTATTGTGAAATTTAACAGTTCAATTCCGGGGGGAGGGGGGAGACGACGTACTGGGGCACTCCAAGCTGTGTTGTACAGCAAGCAGTCAACGGTGGTGTTTCACTGAACGACAGGGATCTACCGTGTACAGCATACACCAAAATTAACTACTTTATCCATGTTAAAATAGTCTTCTGTTAGTGTTAACATCATAACATAATCATATCTGTAGAAGATGTGTCTGAAAAACTGCCTTTTACTTTCCACTGCACACACGAGGACCAGGCGGCGGCAGTCCTTCACTAACAATGCAGCCAAACACAACGAGGTCTGTCGTGTTACCTCAGCGTAACACTCTTATATGGGGCTCAATTAAGTAGCTACAGATGTCTGTGTATGATTCACAGCATATTTCAACAGAAATATTCATTATTTTGATCAGCCTTCAGGTGCAACATCACTGTTGTACACCCCAACACCGAGGGTGTGTATAACAGCCACACAGTTCTTGAACAGCTGGGCACGACAGCGTCATGACCTAAGCGCAAACTCGCACTGCCGCAGCTCGAACTCGCCCAATGGAAAAGGTAGAAGTAGGTTAGTAGTCGAGTTGTTTGGTGTCAGCTGAAGGAACAATCTTTGGGCTCATGCCAAAGATGTAATGGAGCTAGGTGGAGAGGTTCAGAATGAGCACTATTATACTGTATATGGCTCGTGTCATCTCAGAATGGTTAGTTTGCCTGGTTGTGAATTGACTCAATATTTCGTAACAATATATGTTGCTCGTCTATTTAGTTTTTACAAGTGGAAATATATAATTTAATTTTCAATATAACTTCCTCAGAGATCAATGTTCAGATTTCTCGTTCGTCTTGTTATATTGCATAGCCTTCAGAGCGTTCAAGAACTTTTTGTGGCGAGTGTACAGTGTAACTTATCAATATTTCTCAGTTGAAAAAGAAAATCGGAAACGGTGATTATCGTAATCGTCAAGACATTATGGATCTAAAGCTGCATGTTAAAATTCAATTAGATCCATAATGTTTGTTGCGTTGTCAAGGGCAAGAGAAACAATTGAGACCCTGCAATTGTGTGAAATGAGGCAGAAAGTCAGATCAGCAACCTGGGACTTGGTCACAATTTTCGTGATGCCATATGGCAGCAGGGTCTACCATTAGACAATACATTGTGTTTCCAATATCTTCCCAGGTGGTAGTACCTCCCTGTTTGATATCTGCCTGCTACTATGATAGTGTTGGAGAGCCATGCCCTTGGAAGCGACCTGTGCCTTCTTGCCCAGTCTTGGAAAGTAATCTAACCGTGACGTCACGTGAAACGCTCCTATTAAGCGCCTTTCAGTGGTTGTTTGTGGTGGGCTGCGAGACATTAGTGGCACCTGGTCTAGGCTGCTAGGAAACCAGTGGATTATACACGCAAATTAAAGTCAACAATGAAATCCTTGTGGCTGGTTTAGTGGAGATAAGAAGGGTTATACAAGCCTTGGAACCCAGGAAGACTATTCATAGTTGCGTTGCTAGGTCTTTCTGGTTCAGTGGCTGCTAACTATTGTGCTGTACGGTTTCAGCCTTCTTCCTAAAGCGGGATACTCGCACACTTACGGATAGGCTGCACAGTATCACAGCGAATCGGTCTCCCCGCATTTCAACTTTCCATTAATTAATTTCTGGGTTAGACACCATCCTTTTTGGACTACTTTGTCGGTCGTTACCACCGCCAATAAATTAAGTTAGCAGGGCGGGCGAGTGGCAATATCCAGCTGTCTACAGTACAACACTGGACGTCATAGTGTTCGCTGCCTGCCTCACCAACTATCGAGAACAATTATTCTTAAATTCAATTCAATTTGAAGCCGGGGGTAATTATGAATGTAGCACCATTTTTATATACCAAGTCTGTACTGTATTTATTTATTTCACACTGACGAGCACTAACTAGTTGAAAATTTCGTTTAAAAAACAGCTATGAAAGAAACCTTTTACTTTCATTATCAGTAAATTATATGGAAAAACTTAGCTCGTTCTACGCTGGTAATATTCAAATTAAAGGACTAAAAAGACTACCTACATCATTATCTACGTCAGATCCCAAATCCAGTATGCAAACGGTTCAACTTAAGTAATACAACCCCATTATAGGTAGCCACTAAAACTACTGATGGCAACAGAAGATATGGGTGATCATCGATTACGAACTTCACCTTTCTCAGAACCCACTCAGTTTAACTTAACTAAGATGTGGCGGTGGACAGGAACGCCGACAAGTTATATAGTAATTCTTTACCTCGTACAGGGAAGCTAATAAAAACAGATAAATAAATTTAAATGTTTCTCATTTATATGGACTACCATGTTCACTTTAAAAAAAATAAACCACACCCATTGTTTTTTTTTTGGTAAAATACCTTGGATATATGAACCTATCTATTTTGCAGGCGAAAATTACGTAGTCGGACGGAATATAACCTTACAGTAATAACAAGTTTTAAAACTAAGTAAGCTAATTAGTCTGGGAGATATTTTCCGAAAAGAAATGGGAATTTTTTTAGGGAACACAGTCAGCCAATAGCTCCTAGCCATTTACGAACCAATGACATCTAAATTAGCGAGGCACAGTAAGGCGTAGTAACCGGCACCTCTCTAAACCCTTTTAAACTAACTGGCATCTTCTCTATTGCAACGCTCAACATTGTTGCCAGTGAGTTTATACACAAGGGATAGATTAAAACATATTGCACTGATTTTTTACGCCAATGTTTCGCTACTGCAATATTTTTCCACTATGAAAAAAATAAAAAATCGACTAATGGCTTCTTTCCCTCGACCAAACACGCGCCCTTTTGGCACCTGTTCCACCCTGGCACTATATGCATAAAATCATTATAAACACGCTTCGATCCTGGAAGATTGCTACTCAAAGTGAATTTATTACGCCCAAAACTATATTTACTTACAAGCACAACTTTCCGCGTGGTATTGATCGTACAGTCACCGAGCACGGTGTACTGGTGTCACCACCACACCATTTTTTACAAAATTGACTTAGTCTATTAACCATAGGTACTTTGATTTGTAAAGTTCTGTTCATATTAAATTACTACGAACTAGTATACAACAACCTATAGTTGTTTGGGTAACTAATATAATAATACTGTACTGCAATTGAAAAAGGAACACCTAATCATTACCGAAGTACTTTGTTACCAAGTTCATATGTTGTGTTTATTACAATGAAGGATAATAAGTCGTTCTTGAAAAAAAGAAAAAGAATGAAAATCCGTTACTTACTTTCCACCAGGCAAATTTGGGAAATGTACGCCTAAATCCTCCATACTAGGGATGCTGGCCTTGCTTTCCGGAGCCTCGTCCACGCGGCCTGAAACACAGAAAATGGGTCGGTAACAACACTGTCCCACTAGAGAAAACGATACACAACTATATTCTTGTGGCCAACTTCTCTATTTTGAAATTTAATTTCTTTTATTTATCATCTAGGAAAATATATTTAAATAAAATAACTTATGATTTCTTTATAAAGACTTATAAACATATACACTTATAATAATTTTGGAATACAAAGTGAAATTTTGCAAGTATGTTATATTGTTACTGTAGCTCAACAAATAACTAATAACTTTGATTTGGGTACGCCAGGATAACATACGCCATTGTCCAGGCTTGACGATGAGGATGCCAGTAGACTCGACTCGCTCCTCGCCGTTGGAGGCCTCGCACTTGTAGTAACCTTTGTCGTGAATCTCCAGGTCCTTGATGGTCAGCTTGGTGCCGTATACATGCACCTCATCTGTCTTAAAGCGGTACCTGCAACACACCAAAGTAACATGCTTACCTCTATGTGTGATGCTAGCTCAAAGATGGTGCTTGGAATACTGTTTGGTCTGTGTTGTTGTCTTGGTAAGATAAGGAGGTTTTAATGGGGGTAATGTTCTCTCCAGGAATACCGTCACAGGATCCAATTTAAACTTTAAAACTCAATCAGTTTCAGGATCACAATAAACAATGTGTAAATATGTCAAGTATAATATTGCAGAATTCTAATTCACAACCGATATATTATTATGGCATAACTAGACAACACAAAGAACCATAATTAGCCACCGAGATAACAAAAGATAATACCACCTAACCTAACATATACTGGTAACTTTCTATACCCACAGATAACTCGCTCCACCGCCTAACAGGACATACTGTACGGGTTTAATGAAAATGTTCCTATAAATGATAAATCATAGCTTAACCTTCCCTAGCCATATAGTTCCCCTCATATTGAGTTACATCTATTCACTGAACTTTCACTCACACACAACCACCTACCTACCTACCACTACCACCTACTCCCCTACAGGATGACTACCAGTCACTAGCTGCGATATCACCCACTCACTGCCCACCATACCACCCACTACTACCACACCGTCACTGACTGGCTCAGCACCCACTACTACCACACCGCCAATGACTGGACCAGCACCCACTACCACCACACCGTCACTGACTGGACCAGCACCCACTACTACCACACCGTCACTGACTAGCTCCAGCACCACTACTACCACACCGCCAATGACTGGACCAGCACCCACTACCACCACACCGTCACTGACTGGACCAGCACCACTACCACCACCGTCACTGACTTCAGACCCGGCACCCACTACTACCACACCGTCACTGACTGGCTCCGGCACCACCTGCACTACCACACCGCCAATGACTGAACCCGGCACCCACTACCACCACACCGTCACCCAGCTTCAGGCCAGCACCCACTACTACCACACCGCCAATGGCTGAACCAGCACCCACTACCACCACACCGTCACCCAGCTAGACCAGCACCCCTACCACCACACCGTCACCCAGCTGGTTGGCACCCACACTACCCACCACACCGTCTTTGGCTGAACCAGCACCCACTACCACCACACCGTCTTCAGCTGAACCGGCACCACTACTACCACACCGTCACCCCGGCTGAACCCAGCACCCACTACCACCACACCGTCTGGCCTGAACCAGCACCCACTACTACCACACCGTCACTGACTGGACCAGCACCCACTACCACCACGCAGGCGTCACTGACTTTGAACCAGCACCCACTACTACCACACCGTCACACCCCAGCTGAACCCAGCACCCACTACCCACACCGTCACCCTGACTGAACCCAGCACCCACTACTACCCACCGTCACCAGACCCACTTCCCACTACCACCACCGCCAGCGGCTTCAGACCAGCACCCACTACCACCACACCGTCACTGACTTTGGCTCAGCACCCACTACCACCACACACCGCCAATGACTGGAGCCAGCACCCACTACCACCACACCATCACTGGCTTCAGACCAGCACCCACTACTACTACACACCGTCACTGAATAGACCCACTTTACTACTACCACACCGTCACCCCAGCTGGACCAGCACCCACTACCACCACACCGCCAGCCAGTGACCAGCACCCACCACCACCACACCGTCGCCTGGCTGAACGCTTCCTGCTTCCACACCGTCACCCCAGCTGAACCCGCTCACTACCACACACCGCCAGCCGACTGAACCAGCACCCTACCACCACCGTCGCAGCCAGATTGGCACCACTACCACCACACCGTCGCGGCGCACAGACCAGCACCTACCACCACCGTGCTGACTTCAGACCAGCACCCACTACTACCACACCGTCACCAGCTGAACCGGCACCACTACCCACCACACCGTCACCCGGCACCAGACCCAGCACCCACTACCACCACACCGTCGCGACTGAACCGGCATCACTACTTACCACCGTCACCCAGCTGGACCGGCACCCACTACTGCCACACCGTCCGCTGACTGGATCAGCACCCAATACCACCACACGTCACTGACTGGGCCACCACCCACTACTACCACACCGTCACTGACTGGCCCACCACCACTACCACCACACCGTCACTGACTGGACAGCACCACTACCACCACACCGCCAGCAAAGCCACAGACCAGCACCCACCACCACACCGCCAATGACTGGGCCAGCACCCACTACCACCACACCGCCGTGACTGAACCGGCACCCACTACCACCACACCGCCAATGACTGGACCAGCACCCACTACTACCACACCGTCGCGACTGGACCAGCACCCACCACCACCACGCAAATCGCTGACCAGACCAGCGCCCACTACTACCACACTGCCAATTGACTGGACCCGGCACCCACTACCCACCACACCGTCACTGACTGAACCACTTCCCTACCACCACACCGCCAGCAATGAACCAGCACCACACTACCACCACACCGTCACTGACTGAGCCAGCACCCACTACCACCACCGTCACCCCAGCTGAACCAGCCAGCACCCACTACTACCACACCGCCAGCCATTGAACCCAGCACCCACTACCACCACACCGTCACTGACTGAGCCAGCACCCACTACCACCACACCGCCAGCCAGCCAGACCAGCGCAATACCACCACACCGTCACTGACTGAATAGCACCCACTATCACCCACGTCACTGACTGGACCAGCACCCACTACCACCACACCGTCAATGACGGACCAGACCCACTACCAACACATCGTCAATGACTGGGACCAGCACCCACTACTACCACACCGTCACGACTGACCAGCACCCACTACCACCACACCGCCACGACTGGACCAGCACCCACCACCACCACACACCGCCAATGACTGGACCAGCACCACTACCACCACACCGTCACTGACTGGACCAGCACCCACCACCACCACACCGCCAATGACTGGAACTCAGCACCCACTCACCACCACACCGTCACTGACTGACCAGCACCCACTACTACCACACCGTCACTGACTGGACCAGCACCCACTACCACCACACCGTGGCACGACTGACCTGGCACCCACTACTACCACACTCGTCACTGACTGGACCAGCACTCCACTACCACCACACCGTCAAGACTGACCAGCACCCACTACCACACCGCCACTGACTGGACCCAGCACCCACTACCACACACTGCCAATGACTGACCAGCACCACTACCACCACACCGTCAATGACTGACCAGCACCCACCACCACCACACCGTCACGACTGACCAGCACCCACTACTACCACACGCCTGGACTGGACCAGCACCCACTACCACACCGCCAATGACTGACCAGCACCCACTACCACCACACCGTCACTGCTGACTCCAGCACCCACCACCACACCGCCAATGACTGACCAGCACCCATCCATCCACACCGTCACTGACTGGACCAGCACCCACTACTCCACACTGTCACTGACTGGACCAGCACCCACTACTTCAACACACCGCCACGACTGGACCAGAACCACCACCACTGCTCATTGGTTCGTCACTGACTGACCAGCACTCACTCTACCACACCGTCGACTGGACCTGCACCCACTACCACCACGTCAATGACTGGACCAGCACCCACTCACCACCGTCACTGACTGGACCAGCACCCACCACCACACACCGTCACTGACTGCAGCCACTGGCACCACACCGCTCCGACTGGACCAGCACCCACTACTACTCACATCTGTCATCTGACTGGACCGCAATTTTGTGTGAGCACCCACTACCACCACACCGTCACTGACTGACCAGCACCCACTACTTCTCCACACTGTCAATGACTGGACCAGCACCACTACCACCCACACCAGTCTGACTGACCAGAATCCACTACTACCACACGTCAATGACTGACCGTGGGGTGTTGTGGTGCCAGCACCCACTCACCACCACACCGTCAATGACTGGACCAGCACCACTACCACCACACCGCCAGAGCTGGACCAGCACCCACTGCCACCACACCCACGACTGGACCAGCACCCACTTCACCACCTCAGCTGTCGCTGACTGGACCAGCACCCACTACCACCACACCGCCACTGACTGACCAGCACCCACTGCCACCACACCGCCAATGACTGGACCAGCACCCACTACCACACCACACCGCCAATGACTGACCAGCACCCACTACCACCACACCGCCAATGACTGGACCAGCACCCACTACTACCACACAGTCACCGACTGGACCAGCACCCACTACCACCACACCGCCAATGACTGGACCAGCACCCACTACCACCACACAACGCCAATGACTGGACCAGCACCCACTACCACCACACCGCCACTGACTGGACCAGCACCCACTGGGCTAACACACTGTCAATGACTGGACCAGCACTCCACTACCAACTCACCGTTGACTGACCAGCCAACTCCACTACACACTGTCACCGACTGGACCAGCACCCACTGGCACTACACACCGTCCACTGACCAGCACCCACTAATACCACACTGCGTCACTCGACTGGACCAGCACCCACTACCACCACACCGCCAATGCTGGACCAGCACCCACTACCACCACACACCGTCACTGACTGGACCAGCACCCACTCACACCGTCGCGACTTGACACCTCACTGGCCCACACTGGCGTCGCTGACTGGGCCAGCACCCACTACCACCACACCGTCACTGACTGACCAGCACCCACCACACCACACCGTCACCGACTGGACCAGCACCCACTACCACCACCGCCACTGACTGGGCCAGCACCACTGGTCATTATCGTCGCTGACTGGCCAGCACCCATCTGGCCACCACACCGCCGGTACTGGACCAGCACCACTACCACCACTGCTCGCACTGACTGGACCAGCACCCACTGCCACCACACCGCCACGACTGGACCAGCACCCACTACCACCACACCGCCATGACTTGATCAGCACCCACTG